ACCTTCCACGTGGATCTGGCTTCCAACCACAACAGGCCACCCTGCCGGCCCAGGACCCACCCAGCTCTGCACAGTCACAGTGACTGGCCGCCAGGAGGCCATGTGACCCAGGCCGAGCCAGCCTGCACCCTTTCCCTGGATTTGGGGGAAACACGTGAGCTGGGGGGGGTGGGGGGTGGCCCCCAGGACTTGGGCTGTCACAGCCCCCGCCGCACCGAGCATCCTGGGGCAATGAGGCCAGTAGACGGAGTGGAGACGAGAGGCCGAGGTGGCGAGAGCCAGCCCTGCAGCCATTGGAGTCCCAGGTCTGTTGTGCTGAGCCCGGCTTCCCCGCCGCCCTCGTTGCCCTATCCATCCTCACTGACGTGGGGTGTGCTGTCTCCCTAGCTAAGCTGGAGGCTCCAGGAGGGCTGACCTTTGTCTTTTTTTTTCTGCCTGACACGGAATAGGTGCTCAACAAAACCTGCCGACGACACGAACTCCTGATTTGCTTAAGGCTGTGCGCTAGCGTAGGTGGCCTGAGTCCTGCAGAATCTCTGTGTCGAAGAGCTAATCCCCAAGACCTCGGAACATGACCTCGCAGGACCTCGAGCTAAAACGAGGCCCTGAGGGTGGGCCTCATCCAATAGGACTGGTGTCTTCATAGGAAGGAGACATTTGGCCCTGGCTGGTTTGGCTCAGTGGCTAGAGCGTTGGCCTGCGGACTGAGGGGTCCCGGGTTCAGTGCCGGTCAAGGGCACATGCCTGGGTTGCAAGCTGGATCCCCAGAGAGGGGGTGGGGGAGGCAGCCGATTGATGATGCTCTCTCATCATTGTTGTTTCTCTCTCCACACTGTCTTCCACAGTGGCTGCACCAGTCTGCATTCCCACCAGCAGTGCAAGAGGGTTCCTTTTTCTCCGCATCCTCTCCAGCACTTGTCGTTTGTTGATTTGTTGATGATAGCCTTTCCGACAGGTGTGCGGTGGTACCTCATTGTGGTTTTGGTTTACATCTCTGGAATGATTGGTGATTTTGAGCATGTTGTCATATGCCTCTTGGCTTTCTGTATGCGTGAAACCAAACAAGGAATCGCTATGACGTGCACTGACCACCAGGGGGCGAGCACAGAACATGGCAGGCGTTGGCCGCCGCAAGATGGTGGAGCCGGTGAGTGGGGGCGCCAGACCAAGGCGGGACACCGGTCGCTGTCATCGGGGCAAGCCTCTGGTGGTTACTGAAAGTTCTTTGCTCCCAGGTGCCACAGTCCCGCCCAGCTCTCGCACCGGCTGCCAGCGCCAGCCCCGCTCACACCCACTGCCGGCGTCCAGCCTGGGCCCTGATTGCCCCTCAGGGCTTCTCCACCTCCCCCTGCTCCTGAGGGGTGATCAGGGCCAGCAGCTGCCACTGCACTTACTGACAGTGCCGGCCCTGCTCGAAACCGCTGCTGGCACTGGCCCCAATCACTCCGAGGCCCACAGTTCCTATCCAGGTGCACAAATTTGTGCACTGGGTCCCTAGTATATATTTTTAAGTGAACATCCTTGAGCCACCACCCAGGTCAAGAATTCGAGGACAACACTGTAGCTGTCCCCTTCTCATCACTACCACCTTCCTCTCCACAGCGGTGCCCCTCTCTTGCCTGTGCCAGTTCCTGTTGCTGCTGTAAGGAAGTACCACCGAGTCCCTGCCCGGGGGTCAGAAGTCTGAGATCAGTTTCACTGGGTTAGAAAATAAGGTGTCCGCTGGGCTGTGTTCCCTCTGGAGGCTCCGAGGGAGGACTGCTCCCGGCCTTTTCCAGCTGCTAGCGGCTGGGTTCCTGAGCTCGGGGATTCCTGGGCTCGTGACCACTCCACCCTCGACTTCTGTTGTTACACCTCCTCTCTCCATCATCACGTCCTCCCTGCTCGTCACTTTTAAGGGCTCGTGTGACTGCATTGGGCCCACCCAGGGAATCCAGGATGCTCTCCCCATTTCAAAACCCTTAATCACATCTGCAGTCTTTTGTCACTCACAGGTTCCGGGGATTAGAACGTTGGCATCTTTGGGAGGAAGGGGGGGAGGTCATTATTTTGTTTCCTTAAGTGAAATTCATTTTTTTTAACTTTTCTTTTTTGTTTTATCAAGAGTTTGTTTGGCCTGATTTTGAATTTTATGTAAATGAAATAATGCTACCTATATCAGTGGTTCTCAACCTTGGCTGCACATGAGAATCACCTGGGAATCTTTTTAAAATCCTGATTTCTGGGCCTCATCCTCCAGAAATTCTGTTTCTTTGTTACTAATGTTGTGGCCCC